GGTATATAAGTCTAACTGCTATTGCTATTGCTAATTGGTTCATGACTCTCCAAGACTCCTTGCCAACTTTTGCAGATATCGGCCTGTCAGCTCTCCAAGCCAGATAAGGTCTGTGACTGTAAATCCTCCCTCAAAAGACTTTGTTGGATGTGAATGAGCAAAATTCACAGTCAATTAATAAAAGGGTTTTTTGTCGGGACAAGGAGTTTACTTCATGCTCTGGGAAGCTTAGGTCAGAACATTCAGCAACCAATTTTGAGGGAGATAGATATCCAGAAATGCAAAGAATAAAATAAAATAAAAACAAAACAAAACAATTTACTAGAGGGAGAAAACTGAAAAAGAATCACATATCACAGGAGTCATAATCCAGATCAACAAGAATATCAGATTGTTAGAATTTCTGGGCATTTGTTGACATATGCGCAATGGGATTTAATAACCATGGTTGGGTAACCAGGGCCAAGCTCTGAAGGATTACTGGAAGAACAGCATCCACAATCAAGAGAAAAGTAGATTGTGTTTGAAAATCGCTTCTTTATGACTTGCTATTATAAATCAGAAGCAACAAAGTAAGAATGTTTGGATATTGGAAAAGAATTTAACCAGGCTCAAATGTCACTGAACAACGATTAGCAGACCAAAGGAGATTTATTAACAGAAATAAAATATTCAGGGATGCAGAACTGGAAGAGATTCAGAAAAAATGGAAAAAATGGAAAACTCCCAAAACAATAAGGCAAGAACAACTGCCAATATAGAATAAGAAATATAATATAAGAAGTAATAGCAACAGAGCCAGTACAAACCAGTACTGAAACAACCTATTAACCGACACCACCCTCCTCCTCAAAAAATGCTGAAACACTAAAGGAGAAAATTATGGCATATGCAGAATTACCAGTAGAAAGACAAACACTGCCAGCATTGAAAATAATACCCAAAACAGGGCTGGCAGTTATAATGACGGATGTGAATAAGGCGCTTGCAAGGATTAAAATAACATCTATTGAACGGACCAATCAGCGTGCCTACAGTACAACAGTGGTAGTTACAGAAAAACTGGTTATCAAAATTAGAAAAGGCAATATTGATTTGGTGGAAACACCATTAAATCCATCAATACCTGGGCCACACCTGTGATATGATACATTGCTGGAATTATTAACTGGACACAAGCTGCACTGGGCTTTTTGAACTGAAAAGCAAGAAAGCTAATGACTGTTCACTATGTATTATATCCCCATAATTATATGGATAGATTATACCTGCCCCATAGAAATGGAGGAAAGGGTGAAATCCAGCAGGTTCTGACAGGTTATGGAGAACCGTAGCGGAAATTTTGAGTGGTTTGGAGAACCAGTAGCAGAAATTTTGAGTAGTTTGGAGAACCGGCAAATGCCACCTCTAGCTGGCGCCAGAGTGGGGTGGGAATGGAGATTTTGCAGTCCTGCCATGCCCCAAGCCATACCCACAAAGCCACACCATGCCCCCAAGCCATGCCCACCGAGCCACGCCCACAGAACCGGTAGTAAAAAAAAATGAATTTCACCACTGAGGCAAGGGTTTACTTTAAGTCAAGCTAGCTGTGGAATAAGAAAAACATGCATTGGCTGATTACATAAAAGACAGCCAAGAACAAGCATTGATGCAAGTTAAAAAAATGGAACTTATTGAACAAGCAGGAAACAAAACATGAACATTGAAATAATGTAGTAAAAGCAAGAACAGAATGCTGGCAAGGAATAGCATTACATGGTCAATTTCTACAAAAGATTGAGGGGAATGTCAATAAAGATAAAACCTGGCAGTGACTTACAACTGAAACATTTAAAAAATAAGATCAAGGGTTGATTTTGGCTGCTCAAGACCAAGCTGTTTGAACTAATGCAATCAAGGCCTAAACTGAAAAATTGTCAAGTGATTCAAAATTCAGACAGAAGAAACAGTATTTCATATGTTCAGCTCGTGCAAGAAGAGCACACAAGCTGATTATATAAACAATGACATAACACAGTTGCCAAAATGATTCACTGGAACATCTGTAAAAATTATCATGTGCCAGTAATGAAAAATTGGTGGGAACATATTGTTGGAAAAATAGTCAAAAATGAGCAGGTTAAAATAATGTGGGAGTTCAGAATGCAAACTAGTAAAGTCTTGGCTCACAACACATCAGATTTAACTGTGCTTGAAAAGAAGACAGTGTGGATAATTGATGTGGCAATATCAGGGGACAGTAGCAGTGGTGGATTCCGGCAGCCGCTACTGCTGGTTCTCTCAGGGATGTGCCCTGTGTGCACTTGATGTGCGCTGTGCACATATGCGCAGTACAATGAAAATTGCTCTGCACATGTGCGGAAACCAAAAACAAGATGGCGCCGCCTATGGCACCGCTGGGAGAACCGGTTTAGGGGCGTGGCAGGCCTGGGTCGCTGCTGGTTCCAGCGACCCAGGCTGCCAAGCTACTACTGGCCAAACTAGTCTGAACAGGTAGGAATCCACCACTGGACAGTAGAACAGAAAAAAAGACAGAATTGGAGAAGATCACAGAGTATCAAAACCTGAAAACTGAAATTGAAAGATAATGGCATAAACCTAGCCATGATGGTCACAGAGTTATCAGCACCCTGGGTGCCATACCAAAAAACTTGAAAATCTGACCATTGACAAAATTTTCCATCTTTAAATTACCAAAAGGCCACCTTCCTTGTATTTGCAGATATACTATGACTTGATAAAGCAATTCTTTGAGAAAGCTTAAAAGTCTCAGAGTTGCTGAATTGGAATCTTGACATTATGCTGATACGTTATGACATCCTAAATTCTTGGGAAGAACTCAATGCCAGTTAAGGCCAACACCAATTAAAGAACGTATAAAGCTGTGATTTTGCGTGTATATAATAATAATGAAAAACAACAGCACGACAAAGTAACAACAGTGTTGCATTGGAATATCTGCAAGAAATACCATTTGCCTGAAAGAAATGGTGAGACCACAAAATTGGCAAAGTAATACAAAAGGAAGAAGCAAAAGTGCTCTGCGACTTTAGAATTCAAACACAACACCTGAGATTTAACCACTGTTGGTCAGAAAGACAAAAAAAATGGATACTGCAGTAGGTTGGAAACAGCAGAAGAGAAGAGAAAGAATTGGAGAAAATAACAAAATGCGAAGACTTGCAAATAGAACAACGGTGGCAAAAGAAAATGAAGATGATAGCAGTGCTGATAGGTGCCTTGGGTGCAATTTCAAACATCTGGAGCACCACTTGGATCCTATCAGCATTGACAAAATCACTACCAATCAATTGCAAATGCAAGCTTTATTTGGAACAGCTTACATCCTGCAATGATGCCTCCAACACCATGAAACATATATACATCTGATAGTGCAGTGATTAGAGTGCAGTACTGCAGGCTACTTCTGCCCACTGCCAGCTGCCTGCAATTTGGCAGTTCAAATCTCACCAGGTTCAAGGTTGACTCAGCCTTCCATACTTGCGAGGTCGGTAAAATGAGGACCTAAATTGTTGGAGCTAATATGCTGACTCTGTAAACCACTTGTAAACCACTGTAAAGCAGTAGATAAGCCTTAGTGCTATTGCTATTGCCATTTGTCTATCCCAAGTCCTTGGGAAGGACTCAATAGGAAGACAAAAATCCTGTCTGAATATCTGGCTGACTGTGTGATGAACCCAATAAAACTGCAAATATGAAAGAGAAATATAAGCCTCCAATTCCATCCCATAAGTATTCTTACGAAGTAAAAATGGCCTGTAGTTAAAGTGGAAATGCCCACATTTGGGGTAGGGAAGGGGAGATGGGATGGCAGAAATATCCTGGGGGAGGAAGGATGGCAAAAACAATATCGCCACTATTCTGACCCAGGCTTCCCGAGAGCACAAAGCAAACTCCTTGTCCTAACAAAAACCCTTTTAGTTAATTTACTGTGAATTCTGCTCATTCACATCCAGGAAAGTCTTTCAAGGGAGGATTTACAGTCACA